AGGGATCTAGCCAGCTGATATGTTTGGTCCAGAGTGAGTTCGCTCTGTGCTAGAAGTTTCTCGCGGATGGACGTGGACACCAGGCCGTTAATTATAGCATCACGCACGCACTCATCTTGATATTCAGTTGCAGACACAGATTTAAACTCACAGTCTTCGGCTAATGATTTCAGTTTTTGTACGAACTGATCGACATCTTGTCCACTGTCCTGCTTGTAGGTCTGTAGCAAGTAGCGTGCATATATGACATCTTTTGGACGGACATATGATTTCCGTAACGTGTCGATTGCAGATTCATAGTCGGTGTGATCAGCAATGTGATCGTATACTAACGGATCCAGAAAGTGGATGAGAGTTTCAAGTTTGTCGGGTTTAGAAGATTCGACGGTTTTCAGATAAGTTTCGAAGGTACGAAACCAGTGATCCCAGCGTTTTGCTGCATCTGCGGAGTTTGGGTCAGCGTCGAGGAACCGACGTCGTAGTTGCGGGTCCATTGTGTTCTTAGACAAGTAAATTGAGACGTTTAGTAAGAGTCCGAGAACGAGTTAGAACAGAGTCCAGGTTTTCGAGAATAAGCAACGTTTTACTTGTCTAAGAACAAGCGTACATGAGTTGCAATGTACATACAAAAGTTCAGTACGAGTATATATGGTAAGTATAAGAATAGGCATACAAAAATCATGACACAGAGCAACCGCGAAGTATTATTTGCCAGCACAGTTCTTTGTCCCTCTCCAACCCCTTTCCACCGCAATAGCAAACTTCGCTAGGTCACCCGATTGTCAACTATCTTGCCGATATACCTTGTCCATCCCACTGCCCATAAGCAATCCAAATCCACAAGATCCTTTCTACGTAGGAGCTTTCAACGTCCATACTGTCAAATTTGTAAACAGATAAGGCTTTCCCATACCTCATACTCTGTTAAGATTGATGCACGTTGTGTATCGGAAACACATACGAGGCCCAAGCGTGTTCATACATCTTAAGACTCCAAGGACAAACTAAGGTTCAATAAGCTTTACGCTCTGTGCTCCCGGTGATCCAGAAGCAGTGGCTGGTAAAATATATGACGTGGGAGTTACACACAACCCCGTAACTGGAGGCGCTTTGCTGGATTGGATTCCAGTGGACACCATTCGTCTACCCAGCTCAATCAAACTCGATCTTACTCGACAGAAAAACGGTACCTGTTTGCAGTGTCGGAATATGCCCAAATAAGTGCAGTTCTGAATACCAGGAAGAGCACTTTCTACCCTCATTTATCCGGGCTCGCCCACCAAGCTATAAGAGCTGACCTTATAATCCTCACGGGCTATATGAATTCCCTCAATGAACATACTGGATCGTACTGTGGTATGAAGGTTTGTGCCTAAGTGAAATAGAGCTACAGTGTGGGATCTCCATCCGTCATACCAGGTCAGTGGAAGAAGTCCGACGAACGACGTCACGAAGAGACCGGATCTTGCGATGGTGTGACGGTTTGCAGACCTCGGCGACCCATTGGGCTACACTGGAGGGTATCCCCACGGCACTCAAAAAGTCTCTCATACCAGGTTGGTTAATGGTCAGAGGTCTGACGAACACAGCATCCTGGCCCTCCAGGTTGGGGGGCGAATTATTACGTAGAAACGGTAATGAATTCACATTTCCTGTCAAACACCGCTGCCTCGTGGTTAGGCTTTTGAGCCTGATCGTCCTCCTTTCTAGGTGAGGGCGCCCTGACAGTAGCCCAACCAAAGTACAACCATGAACTGCACATATACAAAAAAAAACTCATGCCACATCAACTGTCGTGTGCTGCCACCAGCCGGGTCGCCTTACTCGAAGATGCACCAGGGCGGGTGAGCGAAAACAGACTACTGCTGACGCCTACCTTCTTTCTCTTTCACATACTTTTCCCCTCTCTCTATCCCATTAATAACTTACTCCTTGTAGGCCCAGCACTTAGGACTGATGACTACGTTCATCATGCATTGATGCATGATCGGCTTCGTGCGCAGCATCTGCTTGTCACAGCGCCGAGATCCCCAGGTATCTCCAAGTCAATTTTCAATCCGGATACCCAGTCTCTCTGGCCGCCTTCAATGTCCACAGTCTGAAGCAAGCAGAACAACAAGCTGCTCTTGCACTCACACTGGACTCGCTTGGCATTGATGTGTGCTGTGCCTCAGAAACGAGAATTCGAGATGCAAGCACAGTGATTGAGTTAACTCCCCGTCAGTCTCCACTCGCTTCCGGTGATCCAGAGGCTGCTGCGGTGGGATGTGCAGGAGTTGGTATCGTCCTAAGTCACCGGGCGGAAGTATCCTTGTTTGACTTGATACTTGTTGATGGTCCCCTCTGTGCGGTTCGTCTAGCAACATCTGTGAGTCCCACGTGAGTCTCACAAGCGGAAGTTGATAGGTGCCTGTTTATTATGTCTGCCTACGCCCCAATTGACTGCAACTCTGACGCCGTCAAAGGCAAGTTTTACGACGCCCTAAATGCCCTTTTGGGGCGAGCTAAAAGCTCAGACATCGTGGTGGTTGCCGGAGATATGAACGCACAGGTGGGCCGGCTTAGCGTATTTGAGACTCAGGTAGGAGGTCGACATGGATTGGACCCGGTACATACGAACAATGGTGAACGATTGCTTCAGCCGTGTGCCGACCGCAGGTTGTTTTTATGTGGTGCTAACTTCCGAAATAGCCGACGTCGTCTGGCCACATGGTATCTTCCAACGGCGTACCGGCCACAAACTCAAATTGACCACATTGACATCAGTTACCGATGGCGCAGGTCAATAACGGACTGCCGGTCGTTTTGGAGCACATGTAGATTCTGACCACGCACTCGTCCGGAGTCGCTTCCCTCTACGTTTTCAAGGCCCGCGTAAGCTGCGGACAAATCTCTTGGCAACTGAAATACTGACAGATCCTGATATTAGACGAACTTACCAAAATCGTCTTTCAGAGTCTCTTCCAAATGCTCCACCATCAGATGCGAAATCACACACTGGGACGATATTGCCGTCCGTTTGCAAGGTGCTTGAAATTCCGCCTGTAGCACGTAACCAACAGACCCACTCAAACACTATTCAAATCTCGGAGATAGTAGTGTTGAACACTGACGCTTCACTGCCGTACAACCATGTTTCAGTTGAAATACGTATTGTAAAGAAAAGATTAAAGGACAGGGAAGGGATTCAGTACCAGCTTACTACGATCATTCCGAAGTGCCTACACATCCAGACATTCACTCAGGCAATCTGGATAGAAACTGACGACAACGCCACTGACATCAGTTGGCAGCCTTAGCTGGCAGCATCTCTAACTAGGCGCAGTGGAGATTACGCGGTCCCCATCCCGGATGGCGAGGAGAACCGACAGCACCCAAGCATTTCGTAGTCTCCTTCATACTCCTCTGCCAAGTCAAGGGTTGGCCACCTCTCTAATTCCACCACTCTGAAGTGGACACGGAAAACAGCACTCTCTTCGGCAAACGACGTTTCAGTATACGCAATACGTGACCTAACCAACTCAGTTTCTGGTGCTGGACGCATTCTTCAATGAGTGCCCGTAGCACAACCGAAAACTCGCTTCTAATTGCCTCACCACGGATACGCCGACAATAAACCACACGAGCTATGGTTATGAGACAACGATTGTCAAACACCTGAATGCATCTCAGCTCCGCTGCTCGAACAGGCCGAGTCTCACACTCATACAAAACAGACCGCAGTGTAGCCTGATACACATGTTGCTTGAGATTTGAGGATACACTACTCTGACGGCATGTCTCAAATTAGCAAACGCGACCCGGGCCTTGCAGATTCGTGCATTGACCTCATCTGCCACACTACAATCAAAACTAATACAACTTCCATGGTATGTAGAACGCCCCACAACTTCCAGTGTTTCTCCCTGGATCGTAAGTGGCATGTTCCGTGACTGCATGTCCAGGAGCATGACCTTACATTTTGTGGGTGCAAAGTCCATACCAAAGGACGTGATGACTTTGGTTAGTTCATCCAAAAACACTTGCACCTTCTCCTCCTCTTCGAAGATAAGAACGATGTCGTCTGCATAATCCAGACGACAAGGTTTTCGTCACAGGCCATTTGAAAACCAGGGTTTTGGAGACCCTCCAGCGTTCGTCTCATTATTTCACCGATCACGGAGTTAAAAAAGAATGGAGAGTGGGCATCCCTGACAGACACCGCTTTGTGTACGGAAGCTTTTGGATAGCTCTACGTACACTCTCACGCGTCCGGAAGTCTGAGAATACAAAAAACGTATTATGTTTACAAACTTCCAGGGTATTCCTTGGTAGGCAAGCGGGCCAAGGAGAACAGACCGGTCAACCAAGTCGAATGCGCCTTGGAAATTAATAATTACTAAAACTGTGGGTCGTTGGTACGTATGGCGCTTTTTAGTACCTGACAGTGTGAAGATTTGGTCGACGCAACCTCTTCCAGACCGGAACCCTGCTTGCTTTCTCGAGTCAGAGATATATGAGCCACCATAAGGCGACGAAGCACAAGTGATGCCAGCAGTCTAGTTACGACTGGGGTTAAGCTCATCACACTGTGGTTGCTATGACAACCTGGCAGTGTCCTAGCCCTCGTGCAACCTTAGGGTGGCATGGCAGTTAGGCACCGAAAGGGTGTTACAGCTCATCACACTGTGGTTGCTACACTAACTGCGAGTCCTGCTTTTGAAAATGAGCACTATAACCGACTAAGTCAGTTGTCTGGAGCAGTTCCGTTTTCCCAAATGCAAGCGAGCATATTAGACGGGTGCTGATTGGGGATTTCACTCCTCTTCTTTGAATACTGCGGGTGGAAGGTCATCAGGACCAGAAGTCCGGTGGCGCTTGAGAGAGTAGATGCAATCATACACCTCCGAGGATGTATGGGGCTTCACATTCACCGTCCATGGTTCTAAGTCAATTGTGGGCTCCAGAAGAGTAGCAGCTGGTGACGATGATAAGTTGCTTTACGTATTCTGTTCACCGGTGTGGGCGTTCTCTCACTCATGATGATTTTACTCACAAGAGGTTTCCGGGGACCGGTCGAACGGATCAGTTCAAATTATACTCCGGCATTACCGGCTTTCTGGACCTCTTCTATTACCTTGGTTTTCTGAGTCTACTAGAATTCACGGGCAGTAAGCACGCTTTGCTTCAGTTGACCCCTGAAAGTTCGTCGCGTCAAGTGGGTTTCGGCACCAGATGGGATATGCATATACGATGCCATCGTAATGTAAGCGATGTTAAATAATCTAAATAATTCTGTCTCATTGTTTGGTATACGCCCCACATTTGCAGAGCTTAGAGTGCCACTGCAAGACTGGATGAGCTCGAACCCTAAGCTCTTGCTTGCGGGTGAGCCAATAGACGTAGTAGTTACATTTGCTTACCTGTAAAGCTATCACTTCCCGCAATCCAGTCACAGACGATATTTCCATCCGGATTGGGAAGGCCAGAGTAGCTCTTGTGAGGCTGTACCACGTGTGATTCGCAGGCTTATCTGTAGGGAGAGTCGAATTTATAATGCTACTGTGGGTCATATAGCTCTTGCTACGCGTTGAGGATGTCAAGATACTTCTAGTATTTCGTCATCGATGCCTTCAGAGTTTTGTCCGAGTCTGGTTGGGACAGTGGATCAGTAAGGCTGAAGTACATCGAATGGTGTTAGGGGAAAATTATCCTCCTACGATAGATTAACTGATCACAATCCATAGGTTGTCCAGGCTTGGTCACGTAATTCATATACCGGTCAACCGAATTCCCCAGAAAGCCCTCTCACACAATTACGCGTAGGACAGAAACGAGGGAGGTTAAACAGTGATTTGGTAGCAAAGTATGAATGCCATTACCAACAAACTCAGCTGTGCTGGTCATTGCCGTTCCCCTGGATGGGGATCTCGAAATGGAACACACCATCAAAGTCACAGACAGCAACATCAGTTTTGGCAATGATGCTTCTTTGAAGTACATACGCAGTTTGTCCAATTATAATTGAAGACTAAGAACTGCCTAAACATCCAAGTCCTCAACCAAATGTTGTGTACGACGAGGGTCAGAGTGC